GGACTGTTAAGAGGCAAGACAAAGATCTAAGGTCTGCGATCTTCTCTGAACTTCCAAGCAAAAAAAAAAAAAACCACCCAACAAAAAAAGATGGTTTATGATGCTTGAACACTGAACGCTGTTGGAGGGAAGGGGAGAAATCTGGATCTCTGTAACAGAGTGCATTGGTTCTCCTTGCATAAACAGAAGGTGATTTTTCATGCATAATTCCTCCCAAACATATGAATCGTGAGTCTCTGAAGCAACATCTGGAGAAGTCTCAAGAGAGACAACTGTGATTTCTCTGAACACAAAGATCTGTTCGTTCAGGAGATTCTGGTGTTCCGGCAGAAAAGAAGGCGATTCTCCCATTTTCACTTAATGTGATTTGTAGCTAGTGCAACATTTAACTTTTTCTTTTGCCTTTTATTTCAAGAACATTACTTTTTTGGTACTGATGGGTAGACCTTTTGGGGGGATTTTTGCCCTGGTCATGCCTGCTGTCGTCATTCTGCTAGAGTAGCTGCTCTCAGGGCTTCCAGCAGTCTGTTTTCTGTCTCAGCTGCATAAACGTGGTTGTGGCACATGAGTTAAGGAGCACATGGACTTCAGCTTGGGCAGTTGCAATCCTAACAAAAATCTTGTGACCGTCTCCATTAGCAGGGTCAGTATTGTGGTCAGAGACAAGCGCTGGCGAGGGGAAGCAGGAAAGAGCGAGGAATTCTGCTTTGTCTCATCCGTGAGTGAACAAAGTCAACTTTTGAGAGTGTCGTCAGCATTGAACTGGAACTTTGAAGTGAAAGCAGGACAGACCGAAAAGGGCTGCGAGAGCAGCTTCTCAAGGACAGCCAGTCTTAGCATTTCTTTCTTAAGTGACTTCTGAGCTGGTTTCAGGGTGGGTGGTAAAATTCTTTTTTTCCCCCGGCTTTTAAAAGAGCGTTCCTGTCCTGCCCTGCACTGCCTGTTTATTATGAGGTGGTTGCACGGGCATTTCTGACTTGATTTCCTTGTGGTGACAGCTCTCAGGTTGGAGCAGGTTGCTTGAGAAGAGGCTTGGCTGGGGATGGAGGGGGGATGTGTGTGCACTGAGACTATTTACACGGAAAACTTGACGCTGCTGAACAGCGCCTTCTGAATCCCAGAGCCGTAAAATGTGCACGGTTTCGGAGGGAGCAGGGAAGTACTGATATTGCCATTTGACAGAGTGTGGAAATGCGGCCACGGGAGTTGGATCTCAGAGGGAAGGTGTGAATGAAAAAATAGCACAATTTTTTCTCCTTTTCTTTGCAGACTCGAGATAAGCTAATGCTTGCGTGTGCATATGCAGTGTCCAAGGTCTGCAGCATGTCAGGCGCGGAGTGCCAGATTGTCTTTCTTTCTCCCAGAACATTTGGGCTTTAATTTGGGAAACGTGGTGGGAACCGATAGCATCTTGTTTCAGAGAGAGACTTTCCGATAATCTCGCTGGTGGTGTCACGTCTCCGCGTGAGACGTTAGCTCCTGGCCCCCCGCTGCGGTGCCAAAGCTGGCGATAACGCAGCGCTCGGGGCTGCTCGCGGGTCAGAAGCTGTGCAAGGCACCCTTGGCACCCGGGCTGGGAGCTGCCAGCTCGTTTGTTAAAGCAATTAAACTATACCATAAACTCGTTCAGTTCAGCAAGGGGAAGGGCAGGAGGGGCTCCTCCTCGTCGCCTTTTTCCTTGTCTGATTTAACATTTCTGATGTCACCCAGGAATCCTCTGGTCATGTTCCAGAGTCCTTGTTTGAACCGGTGTCATTGAGATGCTTTTTAATGAGGTTGAAAGAGAGGAACTGGTGATTTTTTTGAACGGGGATTTGTGTGATTTGCGTGGCAATCCTTTGCAGTTCTGTGATAGCTTCCAGAATCTGTTTAATCTTTTCAGTCGTGTCTGTTGGCTGCTTGAGGAGAAGCCTTGGAGAGATGCGTGGCTTCGAAAACATCTGTTAAATACTGAGCAGGTTATTGCGTATTTTAAATTTGCTGCCTTTTGGATACGTTGGGTAGGGGTTCTCTTACAGGATGAGCGCAGGCAGAGCTGTTTCACCAGAAATCCAGAACTACAACCTGCTGCGTTTTGGTTCTGCAGGAGCTCTCCAGGCTTTCAATTCGTGGCAGCGTAATGCTGTTCTTCAGACAAAGCACACACAAGCCCATTTGCCTTCTCTGCAGTCAGTTAACTTCTTTCTAACAGTTGAGAGAGCACTGCAGCAGCAAATCTGGGTCACACACCCTACAAAGGACAAACGACTCCAGATGACAAGGGCTCTGTGTGCTGAAGAAGAGACTAAAATTAGCTTCTGACTCGTATTCGAATTAAAAATTACCCAAGGGGTAAAGGACTAATTCTCAAAAAGACAACTCTTATGTCTTAAACCCACACATTCTCGACAACCTTCTACTCCAGCAGAAATGCAAAAATAAAAAGGCAGTGACCAAACCTTCTGGGAGAAAGGGGATTTTGTTTTCCTTAGTGTGTCTCGGAAGGGAAATAGGAATGAGGTTCCTGGGGACCCCAGAGGAGTGTTCTGGGCCACCTTCCCTGCAGGGCTGCAGCAGCATCTCGTCACTGCCATCTCCAAAATATCACCGTTTTTAGCTGTGGAGTAGTGCCATATACACATTTTGTCAAAATGAACCATAACTAAACGGGTCTTACAAGACCAATGAATGAATGAGCTGCTAGCACAACTTTGTGCGGGATCAGCACTTTCCACAAGCATTTATAAAAAGGGCTGGCAGAACCGGAGAGTACGAATATTGCGAAGTCGCTGCCTGATGCCAAGTGCTGTCAAGGACACAAATTTTCTTAATATAGTTTTAGATTAAGAAAACAAATCATACACCAAGATTACGGAATACCCTCTATTTAAGGCGTAATCTCTCATTTTGCAGCACTGGGCTTATAAATCCTTTGCAGCTTTGGAGATCACCTTCTCCAGCAAAGCAGATGTAGTGATTTGTTTTGTATCTCTGAATATTTTTCTGTAAAGTTAAATAAAATTATTTTTCTGTAAAGTTAAATAAAATGTTTATCTAAGCAGCAAGGACGATATGGAGGTGAAGGCTGATCGCATCCTATAGCAGTAAAGCCTTATGTACAGTATAAGAACAAAATGGAGCTAAAAAAATGGTTGTTAAAAGGAGATTTGCACAAAGATGGTGTCTCCCAAAAAAATAAACAGCTCTGCCTGTGCTCTTCCTTAAGAGAATCCCTGCCTAACAGAGCCTAAATGCAGTAAATTAAAAGTACTCAATAACCTGTCCAGTTCACTGAACATCTGGAAGAAGACCCAGGGGCGAAGACGGCTCAGCTGGGAGTTCTGCAGCCGCCGGTTTCTCCCCGGTGGGTTTCCTCCCTTGGGCAGCGATCTCCACGCCTTCCGAATGGGAAGTGAGGCCCCCAAAGGATGTTCTCCTGTTCTGTGGTCTCCTTTTCCATGGTGTTGGCTCCATTCCTGAGACAGAGAGTTTCTTTTCAGCATTCCCCGGTTGCATTTTGCATAGCTGTCCGGTTTGTCTCTGCAATTACTGTCCTTAGTGGAGCTGCTTTAGCCACCGTTTTGGTGCAGATAAGTCACTGAACCTTGAATTACCCAAACACACAGTCTTTCTCAAAATAAAATCCCATAATTATGGCCTAAGGGCATATATATCCTCGGTCACAACGATGGAAATGCTAAGGGGGAAAAACACTGTTGGTAAACAGAAAAAGGGGTGTGTGAAGTCCTTGGAGCCTGGCATTCGCAAACAGCACCTGCCTTGTTCTGGGGGACAGATCGAGGTCAGATATAAAAGACAGAAGGATAGTTAGAGAAGATGTTGTTGTTGTTTCCGCTTTAAAATGTTTAGAAGTTGGTTTTTTCCTAGGTGCATTTTACATTTGAAAAATGCTTTTGCTCACCCTCTTTGCCTTTCAACGCCGGATGCCAGGGATATGTAGAAAAACCTGGGCTAATTTTGCAAAGGTCACTGGCTTGAAGATCCCCTTTTTAGGTCTCTGTGGCTTTATGTTCAACTCGATAGCCTTTCTGGATGTGGGTAGTGTCACGCAGATAGGCTTTGAATGCTGCAAGTGAGAAGTGTGAAAAATTCAGGGGATGTTCTAGGCACCACTAGACAGATCTCTATTGATTTAGGAGGAAATCCCAAGGAAGAAATAGTTCAACTGATTACTTGAAGCTATGGTTATGCTACTTCTGCAGACGTCTGTAAATTAAACTGCCAACGGTTGGCATCTGCCACTGTCCCAGTGCTGCAGGTCATCCTTCCCGTAGGATTTATTGCCATGCCGGAGCGATTTACCTGCCATACAAATAGTGAGGGAGCATCTGGGAGTCAGGAGGAAGGCAGATAGTGCTTGGGGGTGTGCACGGAACCCCAGCACGGAGAGGAGATTGGGGACAGAGGGGAACAGCCCCTGGGCAATCAGATATTGAGGGATGGGAATAAAAGGGTTCTGGGCAAAAAGGGGTCCCCATGAATGACATCATGACCTGAACTGTTGTGTCTGGAATGTTTTCACATAGTGGTAGTTCTTTTCACGCTGAAATTTTGGACTTTTCACCCTGGAATTGTGTCTCCAAGTTGCTATCTTTCCTCCCTCCATTCATGTGGAGGTTACTAGATAATACCTCAAGGAGGTTGTGTTGATTCGAGGGAGATGTTCCTACCTCATAACTTGCTAACAATACAGCATCGGAGAAGTTTAAATTGGAATTAGCTGACATTTCCCTGCTCTCCCAGGAATTCAGAAGTCTGAAGAACAGCCCATCTATGTGGGCTGAAGGTAATAAGCTTGAGAGATAATTGATTCTGTCTGGAAACCTCTACTCTGATCCCTAAAACCAGGAGGGAAGGCTTGACATTGCTTACAGACAGCAGGGACTTCTTTATTTTTTTGTCTTTCTGGATAGCTTCAGCTCAGAGTACCTGAAGATGGATTGAAGGACCTAATCAGGAAGATATGAAAAGATCTATTTTTCTTTTCCCTTACAGAAAAGGCCACAGATGGCTCTCTGCAGAGCGAAGACTGGACGCTCAACATGGAGATCTGCGACATTATCAACGAGACAGAAGAAGGGTACGTGCTATTTCAGCAAACTTTGAAAGATTCGTGCACGCAATCTTCATCCAGTCGTACTCAGCGTGCGAGGAGGCGCAGTGAGTCTGGAGGCAGACGCTCATAGTTTGAGTGCAGTTTGTGTGCTAGTTGCTTCCTTTTCCTGCTCCTTAGACGTTTCAGAAAACTCCTGCGTGGTGCAACGTGTTCTGTGCTCGGTCGCTGCTTGGGAGGGCTGGCATGAAAAACGTATTGTTGGATTGGGTACTGAGTTTGTACTCCTGGGGTTCTTGTTTTCAGCAGGTGTGTCTCTTTGCGGTGCCACAGTGCTATTAATTACAGCCATTTGAATAGAAAGCTGCTCTGATACGTCTCCTTCGGCATCAGAAAAGCTGTGCTGCTTGCTGGTCACTGGCCTTATGCCCTGGGCCTTTTGCTGGGTAGCTGGCAGGCTTTGATCAACATCCTGCCTTTTTGGAGGCCTTGGGCATTGCTCTGGTCTTGACTTACCGCTGTGATATCTTGTCTCCTCACGTAATTCTACACGACCTTCGTTTGGCTGTAGTTTCACGTAATCTGAAGTTAATACACTCTATCCAGCTGAAAACAGTAAAGGATTCCTTTTCCCACAGTATCTGGCATGCAAAAAGCTTGGCTGAGCTGTCTTTTAAAAACGATGTGTTTCTCCTCCAGCCCAAAGGATGCCATTCGAGCGCTGAAGAAGAGGCTGAATGGAAACAAAAATTACAGAGAGGTCATGCTGGCGCTGACGGTGAGTGGGGGCAGGCTGGAATGCCTCGAAAGGGCAGAGCTCTTGTCTTTTGTCATTTTCCTTTTCTTGGCACTCTCCTGAACGTACACACTATTTACTTTAACAGCTACCACTCTGCCCTTTTCTCCTCTCCAATTGCCTCCTCGCTTCCTCGAGGAGAGTTGCTGGAAGCTTTGCATAGTGTTTTTCTGACTCAGTTGACTTCTCCTTTTTTTCCTGGGCTCTTATTCATTCCAAGTACTGACTGAGGAAAGTTAAAGTAGCCCAAATGGATTTGTGTACCCTTTGGGGCTTTCCCTTTTATTCTCATCTCCCTGTGTCCAACGGTGTCCCCACTCCAAGGCAACAGCTGCGGGCAGATCTGCAAGTGAGGATGATGAACTTGCTGTATTTTCAGCTTCATGAGTAGCTGATGCGCGATTTCCTTTGTGAGTGGATCTCTGTAGGAGCCTCGCGTTAATTTATGCTGATCTAATTTCACTCAGTAGAGCATCAATTGTATTCCATGCATTTAGGCAGCCCTGCTAAGGTGTGAGATAATTTGCCGGTGACCTTTCCTACTGATGACATTAGCTGGGGCTTTTCTGGGTAACGCGGCGCTCCCGAGCGCGCGGTGCCGGGCAGGCTCCGCGCCGCAGCGGCCTGACGAATGAGCAGTGGTGACTAGATCGAGTTCTCCTGCTGTGGGTAGGTGATCTGTATGATTCTTTCCCACGGCTCTCGTTGCGTCTCCCTGACGAGGCGTGACTGTACTTTCTGTCTTCTTGCCATTTCCTATCCTGGATTGTCATTTTGACAGATTACCGGCGACCAAACCACGAGATTATCCATTGTGCAGCAAAGAGCGAAATTCATCAGGAACAAGGCCGTGTCATCACGGCTGATGAAAGTAGCTGAAGTAGGAGAGTAATTACAGACTCCTCAGATACAGAGTCGCAGCGGTTATTAGGGATGGCTGTAAGGAGAAGTGACGCGTTGGATTTATCTCCATGCTAATCATGTTCTTCAGAGAAAAATCAACAGCTGTTCTTCCGTGGCAGTTGAATGGCAAGTGGAAGGTGCCTCTAGCTAGGTTGCAGGGGGAAAATATGTCAAAGTATAACCTGTCAGTGCATTCACAAGGGAGTGTTTTGAATGAGTGAAGATCATTCACCTGAATTCCCAACCCTAAAACATGGCTTATAGCTCAGAGCGACCAGGTCCAGCTGTGTTCCAGGCACATAGAAAATGAGGGAGTGCCACAGCTGTAACGAGGAGGAAACTTTGGATTTCTTCACCTTGGAAACAGGCAAAGGTAGATGACAAAAGTGCTTTAACCCTAATGGTGGGTGAGGTATGTCTAAATGTGTGTGTAGACAGGAAGCTTTTTTGTAAAATTGGAGAAGAAAAGAAGAATTAACAGTGTAAGTGTAATTTCTCCTCGCTTTTCTATCCCTCCCATTAGAATTTTAAAAATAAATTAAAAGAAAAACCAAACAGAAATGAACCACACGGGTGCTGTGTGTCTGATCAAGCTTTGCTCTAGCAATGAATGGCTTTTTTTTTTTTGTGTGTGTGTAGGTGTTGGAGACCTGTGTGAAGAACTGTGGCCATCGCTTTCACGTCTTAGTGGCAAACCGCGACTTCATCGATGGCGTTCTGGTGAAAATCATCTCGCCCAAGAATAATCCCCCCACTATTGTACAGGATAAAGTACTAGCGCTGATTCAGGTACACAGCTTGTCTCTGCTTCCATATGTCGCTGCCTGAAATAAGGACTGTCTGCTTCAGCGCTACGCGTCGCTGAACATGCTGTCATCATTAAAAATGTGGCAAGTTACTCGTATGTAAAAACAAACAATATATCCAGATTGGCAGGGAAGAGCAGACATGCACATGCATAGATATTTTATCCAGGGAGAAATGTCTGGCTTCTGGTTAGAGAGGCACCACTCTACTCTAAAACAAGGGGACTTAATAAAAGAGCAAGACATGGCTTTGGAATTTAACAGTCACTCCTAGAAGCTGGAGACCTGTTTCTGTGACAGGCTTGTCATCAGAGGTCAAGAAATTTCTGTGAGCTGCAGAACCTTTCTGTGCCTGTTTCCCTGACTGTAAAATGGAGCTGTTTCCCTCCATTAGAAAGCATTCTGAATTCCTTTTCACCATGATTATAGAAAAGTAAATGACCATATAGGAGTTAAAATGGTTTCGGTGTCTTTTCTCTGGTTATTGTGCAGTAAAAGTGCATTGTCAGATCCTTGCCTGCAGTGGGGGACTTCAGGCCTGTCTGCCACTTCTCCTTCTGTGTAGCATAACAATAAACAGCCACGTTAATTCCACAAACCATTAGCAACACATGAGGAAGCATTGGTGCCTGCCTGGAGGAAATCTGACAATTATGGGAAGCTTTATCACTAAGCTCCTACGGGCTATTGCGTACACCAGAGACTGAAAGACCCCACGTATTTAAAATGATATAAACCTGCCGCAGCGTTTCTTCTGGGAAGGTATTTACAAACGTGCAACGGAGCTTTTCAGATAGACTTTTGGTTTTGTGGCAAAGCACGCGGTTGGCTTTTTGCTGGCTTATTTGTTATTTGGATACAGATAGGACATCGTTAGAGAATGTAAATGGAAAGGAATGATTTCCAAGCAGAAATAGGCTGGGTTGGGGACTCAGGTGGGCACTGCAGCGGGGTCTCTGGGGTCCCTTTATTTCTGGTCTCTGATCTCCATAGCACAAAAGTAAAGAAATTATTAAAAGCAATTCTTGTGCATCTGACTGAGCCCTTGGAGGTCTGCCTGCTTTGGTGCGAGAGCCGCTGCATGCAGTGACCAGGAGATGAGGTTAAATACTGACCCAAAAAGAGAAGCTGTGGGTGTGTGTCCGTACTGTTTGCTCTGCTACGGCGTTTTAGAGAGGGTCGGTTCCGCTGGGTCCTGGTTAAGTGGATTCCCAGTCATCGAGGCAACCGAGATGGAAGTGTTTGTAACAAAACCAGAAAGCCGCAGTCGTTGCCTCAGTGTATTAAACAGAGCTTTATCGGAGCAGGCTTAGTGCAGTAGAGCTAAAAGCCTCGCTCTGGGTACTAAATGCTTTTCGGTATGAAAAGCCTGAGAATTACGAAAGTTGCCTGTGGGTGGGTTCTGTTAACTGGGGGTGGTAGGGACTTTGTTTTCCAGATTGCCTGACAAGTTTGGAAGAGTGACTGCAGTCACTCATCTCAAGTGCCCTGTGGACACCCGCTCCCAAAATAGCCCGTTCGTCAGGACCACTTCGCTCAGCTTAGATTCTGCTCTTCACAACTCCCTGTGCTTGGAGTTAACTCCATTCCAGGGGACTGATCTCTTCTCAGCTCTGCTCCACTAACGCCGCATTTATCCCTTTCTGTAGGCTTTTTACAATTTGGTATCAGGGAATTAATAAGAACAGAATGAGAGGATTAATACCAGTGAGAAGCATGGGAAAAAGCTCTACAAACAGGATATGTCTTCAGCCATACAGCTCTTGTACTTCTGGGCCTTTCCATAGCAAGGGTGGATGAAGCTGCCACCCAGTTTCTTATCTAGAGGCTTGACTGCTGTGACGTGTGTTGCACTGAGATGATGTTTTAGCGTGTGTTAACACACTGCTTATCCTCCCTTCTTCACCTTGCTAAAAGGCCTTGAAAATACTCCTTACTGCTGTGCCTCTGGTAGGAACCTGCGTTTCACCTGAGAGTTCATACCACCTCACCGCCCCGTAGCTGAGCCCTGTCATCAAACATGAAGCGTGGGAAGACTTTTAGTGGCACGGCAAAATTTTTTGAGGGTGCACGTCTGACACTGGAAAAATTGCTTTGGGACGGTCACCGATTTGGGGGATGGATTTGCAATGGTATTGAATTAACTTGTTTGGGCACACCAAGGTGCAAAGTAGGATTTGTACAGCAGCATCTTTAAGTATCTATGTTTGATAGTCTGGCCCAAAGTCTGAGAAGATCTGAATTCAGTCTCCCCTCTGGCGTACACTTGCTGGGACAATGGGCAAGTCTCCGAAGCTCTGTGTGTAGCTCCTTATCTGTAAAGCAGAGCTAATATTACCGTTGCCTAGTTGAATTGTGAGCTGTCTGGGGCAAGGATTGTCTTACAACGTGTGTAGAGAGCACTTAGGACAATAGTGCCCAGTCCTGCTTGTGACCTCCGAGGGACACACTGGGGTAGATAATGCCCCCAGCTCAGGCGAAGAAGAATACAAATGGAAGTGTCTCCTTTCTCCAGGAAAGAGACTTGCAGAAGAGAGAATGTATTACAAAAGTATAGGGCAGATGAAGTGAGTTTGCTGTCCTTAGTGCCTACAATAAAATTTTCCAGTGGAACGGGATGCATTCGTGTGTCCTCATTAAAAGTTGGGGGCCTCAAAGTTTCTTCTGAGTGATTACTGACTAGAGCACCCCTTGCCTAACATCTTGCACTCGGACTTGCGAGTAGGGTTGAAGTGGGGAACACCGTTGTGTAGAAGCATCGTTCAGATGACGCCTTATGTAAACTGAAAATGCAGAGAAAGTGCGAGGATAGAGTTACTTGTACAGTCAGTACGTCCGTCAGAGTTCGGGGTGGTTTGGAAGGTCAGTTCCAAGGAAACAGAACTGCTCTTTGCAGTCAGAGCTGTTTTCTCTGGCTCGAATAGGGCTGTTCGGGCTTGCACTGCATCAGAACAGCGGGTACGGTTAATTGACTTTTAAAAAAGCAGAAGAGCAAACCCAGAATTGTTGGCTTACAACTGATAATGAAATTATCTCCCCGGCACGTAGGGTAGGAAATGCTCTTTCTCGGAATTGAATAGAGTAGGAATTTAAGTTAAATATTAATATTAATTCTTGTCTTGCTTTGCTGTTTTAGATTTCTCTCCTCTCGGATAAAAAAAAAAGTTTTTAAAAACAGCCTTTAAAGTAAAAATAGTCAAAGAGCTAGTGTAAAAGTGATGACTAAATGAATTAAGTTCAGAGCCCACACACATGTCTCGCAGTAGTTCTGGATCCAGCACGCTGATACTCTACCCTCACATATGTGGGGGTTTGTGGAACGCTTCATTTTTAAATGAGTCATAATATTTCAATTTTTCCTTCCTCTAATTTTTTAATACTTGGCCAATTCCCAACAAAAGTGAAAGGGGGTAGAGGCTTTCAAGATATTATACTCCTCGCAGCTTCGTACAGGAGGCTGGCTAGCGGAGAGAAACACTTAGTACTCCCACTGAAGAAAAAGCTTGAATGTGAATTGAAGTTTTTTTAGGCACCAGAGAATTCGTGCGGGAGAGGTATTTTGAGTGTTCTGGCTGTGGGACATTCTCCCTTTAAGCTTATTCTTCCTGACACACCAGGGTGTTGGATATGCTCTATAAGAGCTTCATTAGTTCTGCTGCTCATGGGACTGCATGTTTCACAGTATGAGAACCTCAGAAACTACTTTTTTTAATTTCTGTTTGGTCCAAATAAAATACTGAAGACAACTCGACAGCTGGGTTTTTTTCATCGGTAGCAAATGAGGATGTTTTACAAAGTAAATTGGGATGGCCTGAGATAGCTGTGTGACTTTATGAATTTTGCTTAGATCAATTTAATCTTTCACAGACTTTTTTCTGCTGGGTCATTGGCCATAGAATGTGCAAGAAAGGATCAGCATGCAGTCGCTGCGAAGTAGAGATCGGCAGAGGCTTTCATCTGCATTTACAGATTTTGATGGTGTCAGGGGCTAGACATAGCTACTTGTATGCTGGGTTCCTGTCTATTTTATATTTGAACAAAATGTGTATGTGACTGTCTTGATAACATTTAAAGGATCCTTTAGACCGGGTCTAATGATTGCAGCGACCCTTTGAAGGTGAAATACTCGAAAGCTTTTATAGCCGATACCTGTGGTCAGGGTGGAGCTGGAACTTCATTTGAAAGGTTTATGGATAATCCCCTCATGTCTTCCAGGCTTGGGCCGACGCCTTTCGAAGTAGCCCTGATTTAACTGGAGTAGTGCATATTTATGAAGAACTCAAGAGGAAAGGCATAGAGTTTCCCATGGCAGATCTCGATGCTCTGTCTCCAATACACACACCACAGAGGGTAAGCTGCAGCATTGCAATTCCAGGGCTATTTTCCCTAAAGAGTTGGATAACTACTCTTCTTTCCCTTCCTGTTTCTCTGAAATTGTCTCATTTTCTCACTCCGGGAAGGATTTTTTTTTTAATAGTGAAAGGGCACGTAGGAGAAGCGTAATGCAGCTGTGTTTGACAGGCTGGTAAGCTAATGGGATCTCCTCCCTCGAGTCAAACATCAATCTGAGAAGAGAGTTTGGAGGAGATTTGTACACTTGTCTTGTACCACAGAACCACCAGACAAATGCAACTGATTTGCTCAGGGAAAGTCCAGCAGGTGTACGATTGAGATTTACTTCTTCTGCCCAAAAGTGTGGTTGTTCCTGTTGGTGATAACCCAGAACCAAGGCCTGGTTGTGTTTTTAAAGGTGTACAGCGTCTGAATCTCTCACAGAGCTCATTGTAATGTAAAATCCTTACACCTCTGAAGTGTTAGGTCTCGAAAGCTGACAGAACTGCTGCAAGGGAGTAACTTAATGATCACAGGTGTTCTGATTATTCACTCTGAAACTGAATGTAATGAATCTTTGAAGTGGGAACTGTAAGTGATCAAGGACTGAAAGATTACAATTCTTGTGTCAAGATTAATTAAATGCAGTATCTGTGTATCACATCACTTTTTGCAGCTTAATTCTTAGCTTAAAATCATTTATTACCTTTGCCTCTTGTTTTTGTTTTGTTTCTCACTTTTCTTGTAAAGGTAAATTGACTTAAATGCACGTGGGTTGGGTCGAAAGATACGGGCACGCATTTTTGTTCCATTTATGGGCTCGCCTGCCAGCTTCTTCTTGTAACTCCACTGACCTTTTCCACAAGGTGCAATTATGTTCTATATTTGAGCATACTTGGCCTGAGGTTGCTGACAAAGCAAGCGCGTCCACGACTCAGCTTTTGAACTTCTGTCTTTCTGATATGGCAGAGCGTTCCCGAAGTTGATCCTGCAGCAAATATGCACAATTCACAGTCTCAGCAGAGGATGAGCACCAGTTCTTACTCTTCCTCTTCTCCAACGGCGTATTCTGCTCCTCAGGCCCCAGCTCTGAATGTGACTGGTCCCATCACTGCTAATTCCGAACAGGTATTGGGAGGATGATTCTTCTGAGGGAGACTCTTTCAGCGCATGAAATTAGAAACCAATTTGCAGGGGAACTTTCTTTTCAACTCTTTGGAGTTTAAGTGCCTCCTAGGTCTTACTTAGTAATTTTTCCTCCTGTTACGACTGTAAAATCCAGGCTTCTGTTTTGTACACGTGGCTTCCTAATGGCAGCGGTTACGCAACCTCACAGCCCGACACGCGGTCAGCTCAGTGGTTGGGTGGTAGGTTCGCAGTCCTTGTCATCAGCCCCACTCCTTTAAAGGCACAGAGTGTCTTGTAGATGGAGGAATTCCAACAGGGAGTTAACTCCGTATCCATAAGACCCTTGCAAATGCCCCGATGGAAGATCATCTTCTCTCTCTGCAAAAATAATGACTTCGGAGCCAAAGATCCTGCTCCCCACACATGAATGAGGCACGCAAGGTGTGCTGCAGCTGAGGTCTGGTTTTAGCTGCTGTTTCCCTTCCACACAAGCATAGCACATCTGGGTTTGTGATGATAGCGAGTGGTTCTGCAAAGTTCTTTTCTTTCTCTGTTGCTTTTGTAAAATTCTCTCCTGGGTAAACTTTTTATCTTTACTTTTTTTTTCCTTTCTCTGCTAGAATGTCTGGAGCCTCAGATATCAAGTCAGAAAGAACCAGTGGTATCACAAAGTCAGTTCTTGAAATTTTACTGGTTTTTTTTACCCCAATTTAGATTGCCCGGCTGCGCAGTGAACTGGATATTGTTCGTGGGAACACAAAAGTGATGTCTGAAATGCTGACAGAAATGGTACCTGGACAAGAGGATTCCTCAGACCTTGAGTTACTCCAGGTAACAGTTTCCTAGCAAATATGACACTGATGCTTTCTGGTTTCTAGTTTCTCTGGAGGATGTGTTTTTTGTTGTAGTTCACTTCTCTGCCTTGGTTTGCTAGATGGACATAGTGAATGCTGGCTGTGCTTGACCCTGGCTGGTCTCATCACTCAGTGTTCTTCATTTGTTAGAGCTTCCAGTGACAAGGATTTCCTAACTTCCCTTGAAACTTGTTCCAGTGCTTTCTTCTCTATGTAGCTAGAAATTTTTCTCAATGTTGGGTATAAGGTCTCCTTTACTACAGAGCAGCTTAGAACTGCCATAGGCTCTGCAAGCCTTGAGCATTTCTGCTTCTCTCACATCCTCCATCCTCACTTGTGCTGTGTCAAAACATGCTATGCAGGGAAAAGAACACTCCATGTTTCCAGCTGAACTAAATATTGCCCAGGGTCTATGGACTCTCTGCCACTTGAAATCTTATATCTGAGCTAACTGCCTTTCCAGAAGTTGTACTGTAGCTTCTCCTGAAGGCAGTGTCTTAAGGCAGGCGCTCAGGCAAAGTTGTATGCCGTCTGGAGCGTTAGACTGGGTAATCAGAAGGGATTTCTTTGCTGGAAAGTCTCAATCCTGTGCAGCATTTGTCATTGCAAGAGGGAAAACGGTGTAAGCTGAGCTCACATACCTGTTTCTCTAGGCCAGTGGTAGCAGAGGGGCCTTTTGGCTAAGGAAAGTCACAGTTCATCATACAACACAGAGGAGGAATGCTGTGATCTAGCGTTCCAGCTGCTGCCCTTAACGTGGTATTTGCCTTTCCGTAGCTTCAGAAATAGGCTTCTGTGTTGATCCTCCAGCAGGGAGGATGGGCTCCCGCAGCAGCACATTTGGAGGAAGGCAGAGAATTGCTCTCTGTGATACATCGGAGTTTGAAATCCATCCAGCAATTGGTCTCTCCCATGCAGCGGTGTTTTGTGTTTGTTTCGGAGCCATCGTGGCAGCTGATGAGAGGTTTTGCAATAAAGACCCTTTCAGTTCCTGCCCATTTGGGTCGGACTGCTTGGAACAAAAGAAGCTTCCAGGAAACCACAGCAGAGCAAACCAGCGTAGAACAGTTTCCTTACGTTCGGAGACAACTGCCAACGTCTTGACAGCGTAAGCTTACAGCGTAGCTTTAAGGTGAAAGAACTTGATCATGGAGTGACAGCAACAATTCTTTCTCCCAACTGGTTCCCTTCTTTGACTGATGCATCCTAAATCTGAATCACAGAGCTGGGGAGAACCCCTTTTTGATCACAAAGGATGGTTAGTCTTTTGAAAGCCATGAGCCGGGTGCTGCATGCAAGGAGTCCTCTCTTTGAGGTTTATATAGCCCTCCTCCTTAAATAATTCCTGACATTTTCTCCAACAATCGAATGTAAACAGCTTGCTAGAGAGCCAGCTCTGAGCAGAATAGATAGGTACTGTCAGCCCTCTCGGAAAGGCAGCAAACAAACCTCTGAAATGTCACAATCTGCTTCGAAAGTGATGGGATCAAAACTGACATTGGAGAACACATTCCTCAAGCTGTTAAGGCAGCTGGATTGCACTAGGTGAAATTTATCCAGAGCTTAGGATGTCAGACCAAGCAAGGAAAACAAACATATTTTTGCTTTCATCCTGAAGGTTGTGTACCAACAAGTCATCCTTGTTTAGTGCGGAATTTTTGCTGTGAAGTGGAGCTGGGGAGGGCGAGGTAGAAGATGACAGAGGGACATGCTTTAGTTGAAATGTCAGTGCTTATTGAAGTAAAACCGTGGGCCTAATCAGCGGCGCCGTGCCATTTGTCACGTTTCTTCTTGTAGTTCTTCCTCAACGGATCGGTTTTGACCTTTGGTCTTGAGGCCCTTCAGGAGTAAAGAATTCTGCTAAGTAATTGGTGATGGAAGAGACGTCCTGGCAGCATGAGGAGTCCTGGTTTAGGCAAACTCAGATCTATATTTCTTGGCATGAGACTTCCAAAATAAATGCCCTTACTCTATATACTTGGAAATTTTCTTCAGAAAGTCCCCACTGCCTTTTTGCAGCCTCTTGTCTGTGGACTTGCTTGGTTGAAGGGAAGGTTTCAGTACTGGAGTACGTGTGGAGTGACCATCTTCTGCTCCTTGTTTTATCTTCATCCTTGTGTCCTCAGTAGTTGGTCAGGTCTGTGTCCTCAACACTTCTCTTCCTAGCACACACTTGGCTACTTGTTGTAGCCCCAGTGAACTGTTTTTTCCTACCTGTTCCCCTCTTTGCATCTTTTCGTTTCTAAGGATGATATTGCCAAAAAGAGCAGATTGAATTTTCCTTGAAAGCTCTCTTCTGGAAAGCTGTTGTATTAACATGTTCTAATCTTAAACCAGATCACTGAAATACAGATATTTATTTTCTGAAGTGCTCAGAGTTAAAGAAGAATCAGGATGTTGAATTGTAAATAGGCTCTCAAGGTTTTATGCCATCGTCTCTTGAAGGGCATGTTTGATTAGATGTGCTTTTGGGTGACATTTAATCATGCAAAGATAGACTTGTCTTAGTGTTTCTCAGCTGGGGGATATGTTTGGCTACGAAGAGAGCTTGACTAAATCTGCTTATTGCTAGCTGCTTATCAGAACGTGTGTGCACAATGCATTCCTCCCAGGAACTGAACCGAACCTGTAGAGCTATGCAGCAGAGAATTGTGGAGCTTATCTCACGAGTGTCCAATGAAGAAGTCACAGAGGAACTGCTGCATGTGAATGATGATTTAAATAACGTCTTCCTCCGATACGAAAGGTGAGGCACCTTTTCCGTCAGCTGTTTACATTTACTCTGGGTTTTAACTTAAGTGTAAAGTAGGTCACTTGGCAAGAGTTGGCCATCTGGACCATAACAAAATGCAGACAACGAAACCACAGAAAGCTTTTATGAAGTCTTTTATGTTAACATTCCTGCTTTGGTTGTTTCCTTTAGTACTATGATTTTGGGGTTTGGTTTTTTTTTTTTTTTGGTCCCAGCCATTGAATTTTTGTAGGGGAATATCTGTAAAATGCAGAGCAACCGTGGGCAAAACTCTCTGAACTAGCAGAGACTTGATCCCGTGAGTCCCCGTTGTGCCGTACGGCTGTAGGGACTTGGGACAGAAAATAGCCCAGCCACCATCGCTAGCTCTGCTCGCTCCCCTTGGCTCTGCACAAATGCTTGTGCTGCTGCCTGGCTTAGGGAGGCTCCCGAGAGCTCTTTCTGTCTTCTGATCCCTGAGCTTTCCAGTTCTGGGGCAAGGGGAGCTGCACGAGGTGGGCGTGATCTTGGTGCGTGTCAGGGTTTTGTTTGGAAGTTACGCTTAAAATCTTGGGGAGGGCTGGGGGGAAAAAAAGAAAAAGAAAAAAGAAAAAAGCCTGTCTTGCGCAGAGCTGAGGTTTCCAAGAGCGAGTCTGTGGGAGTCGTCCCCAGGGGTGGGACTTGGGTCTTAGGACTTTGGACGGGTTAGACAAAGGCGCTGTCAGGCACATCTGCTGCAGGAGGGACACGTGATGCAGCACTCTTGGGAAAGTTTAATCTTCCTCCTAATGACAGGCCTGGGGAGTGAGGCACTAAAGAGTACCCTTTGTTCCTTGCTCTTAGCACAGGGCTTTGTTTCTCAAGCTTTTAAAAATAAATTAGACTCCAGATCTGTGAATCCGTGCTGTCACGGCAAAGGCTGGAAAGAAGACTCAGTGGCCTCGATTTTGTCTTTGATTTAGTCGTTCAGAGGAGGATCGGGGCAAACTTTGAAACAGATGCTGGCCTTTTATCTGAACTGGTACGTGTTTCACGCACGAGCGTGATTCTACAAGTGGCGGAGTGTCCCTGTCACTAAGGCTTAGTCTGGGCACCCTTAATATTTTTTAATATTTTCCTCTATCTGCAACTTTGCTGACTGGGGCTGAAGTATTTGTAGTCGTTATAGGCTGAAAGGTGAGCTGAGTGATGGTAGCAAATGATTTGGGGTAGAATAGCTCCGCTGATCTGAGCGTTTCAATAAATTCCAGTTTCCTCCTCTGCTATTCCAAAAGCTCCACATCCATCACGCAGGTTTCTAGTACGGGTCCTCAGCTCTGGCAGGGACTCAAGCAGGAGCTCTGGCCTTCGCTGTGGTTCTGTGATTCTGTAAATAAATGTGTGGTTCATAAGCCTTTTGGTGAGAAATACGAAGTGGGAGGTGTCATAGGTTTCCAGCTAAGGGAGCTGAATTTCCAGTAATAGTTAAACACCCACAGTTTCCTTCCTAAAATTGAAGTTTTGGGCCTGAATTTGTTTTTGCTGCCTTTTAGGTCTGCGTTTTCCTCTGTTACATTAAGAAAACATCTTAGTTTGCTTGAGATTCCCTGTTGCGTTTTGTCCATCTGGGAGAAAACCCACAGGATTATAAGAATATTTTGGTTTTTTTCTGAAAAGAGAGATTACATGTGAAACTTTTTAAATGAGGACAAGTTCTAACCTCAGAGAGATCACAGCGCTTTCCTGGTAAGGAGGGAGATCCGACTGGCCTCGGACAGGCTTTGGGAGGAGGTAGTTGTCCCTGCTTTTTTCAGTTCATGAAAGCCGGGTTTAGGTTTGCAACGCCAGATGCACGGCTGGTTGGGGAAGGAGAAAAGACCAAATCTTGACTGGTCAGACTTCTTCCCCTGAGAAGTATGAAGACTTTTATCCAAGGTCATTACTTATCACTCTTGGAAAGCACCGACCTATCTGAACACAGGCTCTGACGATCTTTGAGCTGACCCAGAATGTTTGAAGAAATGCATCTGGTAATCGTCGTTTCTGGGCATGCGTACATATGGCTCCTAATTTACATGGATTGCAGCAAGAGGGAGCTGTTAAGTGGGAGTAAGACTTGCTGCCGCGCTCAGCTTACTTAGCTGGGAGCGTTAATCTTGCGGCAGTTCCTCCTGTCCCTTGGCTAACAGAGCAGTCTATCACAAAACACTTAATGAGGAAAAAAACTCACACAACAAAAAAATGGAAGAAAAATCCTGTAGTGTTTTTCAGGCACGCGTGTGCTGCGAGATCAGATTAGTCCACTTAATATCCACAATTGCCAAGAATGCAACTTCTGCAGCTATTCTTCCTTTGTCCTGGCGCGGGGTCAAAGCTTTCAGGGTTCCCCCTTGAACCAACAAAAACTAAATTCCCTAGCGGGTGTGTCATGGCTTTATTATAAACTTGTGTTTTCCGTTGCTCGTTGGTGGCTTTGATAGTCCATCTTGGTTTATTGGGTTTTTTCCTAAACAGATTTGAACGATACAGATCAGGACGTTCAACACAAAACGCCAGCAATGGAGTAAGTACCCAACTCCAGTTATTATACCAGCAGTTACACCATGCTTAGGCCTACTAATATCACTAGTATCAGATTTTTTACCTAGCCAGCCCTGTGGCCTGCTTGTGGTAGCTAATGCTGGATACCAGGAAAAGGACGTAAGAATGTGGCAAACTACAAGTGACAGCTTTTAGCTCACTTCACCAAAACATCTCCGTGTTTGCAATCCTTGATGTTTTTTGTTTCCTCTGTTAATTTTTCTGATTGTTTTTGAGTCCACGTGGACTTCAGGCATTAATGACGTACCTAAGTAGCGAGTTCTACAATGTCACTGCACATTTTTACATATTTGTGTGGGTACTTATATAAAATAAATATTTTTTTTACATTTGATCAAGTCATTTAATGATTTTTATTTGCTCCACCCCATTCTTCTTCACTGTGTCTTACATTACCACCGTTCAGATTAATTTTCTTCATGCCACTCATGATTTTAGGAACCTTTCTCATCTCCTTTTTCAGCAGCCCCTTTCCAAGCTGAAGAGTTATAGCTCTAATTATTCTTTCAGTTAAAATTACTTTATAGTTGGTTTATAGTGTTCAAGATCTGAGTTCATGACAAATTCGTATGTAGTGCTGTTACATTTTTTGTCCTGCATCCTTCTAACCATTTCCTCTTCTTACTTTGCCTGTTTGGTTGCCACTGCACTGCGACGCAAAGTTCAGCACAGGCTCTGCATTGTAACTTCAATCACAACAAAGTAGTTTTGTTTCTGAAAACACTTTATACCTGGTGTGGAAGAAGGTAGCAAATTCAGTTTGACTTGGATCTCATGTTGCTCTGGTGCTAAAAGAGATGGAAAACACAGACACGTTAGCTAAATTTGAAGAGGTGTAGATGACCTCCAAGAGAATTTCTTGCTGTGCGGAGCAAACTGAGGGTTTTTTTTGGTGGCTGACCCTTTTTACTCTGCACTCATCCCTGTAGTATCCAAGAGACTGGTCCATTTGGCAGCATGCAAGAGGAATTTTTTTAGGAAGCACCCATTATTTTTTGGTGTTTAATGTCATCCTGTAAGAAGAAATCTCTGGTGTGCGTAACTCGCTGTGTCTCTTGTGTCCCGCCAGGTACTGAATGAGGTGACAGAAGATAACTTAATAGATCTGGGTCCTGGCTCTCCAGCTGTAGTGAGCCCGATGGTTGGCAACTCAGCGCCCCCATCTTCACTTTCTTCACAGCTTGCAGGGCTTGGTGAGTACCTGGTGTAAACAGTGCTGAATATGAGCCAGCGGTGTGCCCAGGTGGCCAAGAAGGCCAACGGCATCCTGGCTTGTATTAGAAATGTTGTGACCAGCAGAAGAAGGGAAGTGATTGTCCCTCTGTGCTCAGCACTGGTGAGGCCGCACCTTGAGTGTTGTGTTCAGTTTTGGTCACCTCAGTGTAAGAGAAACCTCGAGGTGTTGGAGCAAGTGCAGAGGAGGGCAACAAAGCTGGTGAAGGGCCTGGAGAACAGACCTTGTGAGGAGCGATTGAGGGAGCTGGGTCTGTTCAGTTTGACCAAGAGGAGGCTGAGGGGGGATCTCATCATGCTCTACAGCTACTTGAAAGGACATTGTGGAGAGGTTGGTGCTGGTCTCTTCTCACAGGGAATTAGGGACAGAACCAGGGGGAATGGTTGCAAGTTGCAACAGGGCAGGTTTAGGCTGGACATTAGGAAGAAATTTTTCACGGAAAAAGGGGCCAAACCCTGGAACAGACTGCCTAGGGAGGGGGTTGAGTCGCCATCCCTGGATGGGTTCAAGTGTCGTCTAGATGTGGTGTTGGGGGATATGGTTTAGGGGTGAACTTGTAGTGTAGGGTCAATGGTTGGACTCGATGATCCCAAGAGTCTTTTCCAGCCTGAATTGTTCTATGATTCTATGATGAATATGAGGTCACAATGCGTGGACTCATTCAAGTCTATAACCAGTCTGTGGGTCTTGAGTAGCAGGAGCTGCCAAGCAATTCAGGTGTGTGACTCTGGGAGCAAGTGGATTAGAAGAAGTCGCGCAGAGAAGCTGTGACATCTCCTTCCCTGGAAATGTTGAAGGCCAGGTTGGATGGAGCTTTGAGCAACCTGGCAGGGAGGGTTGGAACTAAATGATCTTTAAAGTTACTTCCACGCCAAACCATTCTGTGATTCTCTGAAGTCTGAGCAGTTGCTCCCTGTGACTGACCTGAACACCCAGTACAAGCCCATATTGCAGTGGGGTGTTGGGATTTACGGGGAGTAATTTTTCACTTGTGGATTAGAGAGTTTCTGCTCCCTTTGGCTTTCCAGTGCCTGATTAACATTGCTGTGTAGCCTTCAGAAGGTTTAGGTATGTGCTTACAGGATTAGGAAGGCTTTCCCACTCCCCTGCACTGTGGTGATCTGTAACTGGGAACCAGCCTGGCGCAAAGGGAGAGGTTTATTAACCACAGGGGAGACTGGAAGAAAAGGCGCAGGTTCTCGTTCACTGTAAAACTTGTACTATTACTTTTATTTCTGCTTAGACATAGCTCTTCATGAAATCAGTCTAGTGAGTGTTCTTGGTTCCTCTCCTATAAATAATATTTGAAATCTTTGGAAACTGTTTTCCCTTAAATCAAACAGTGATTGTTTGATAGGATCGCTTGATTTGGCTGAAGGTTCTCCAGCTCTTTCAGCACTGCACCATATTATCATGTGGTTGGAAATGGTTGGTTTCTCGATCAATGGCAGCGAATAGTCAATCCCTTGGGATGAGACTGGCAGCAGGTGCACACCGATTCCCAAACGCTGGCTTCTCAATGAGGAGTGCTGATAGTGTGGTGCTTCCAGGAGGAATAAGACAATCTCTACATTTATCTTTTAAGAAATGCATGATTAGCAGCCTCCAGCCTCTTCTGGACAGAACTTTGCTCAGTGCTGCAACTGTTAAGTAGATGATATCTCTACGTGCTGTGTATTCTTCATGACTTCCTCTCCAACCGGCAGAGTCATGGAGCGATGCTTGCATGTCTTTTGCTGTTTCATCGGTTCTCTTTTCTTGCCTCTGATTGCAGACCTGGGTACAAACAGCGTCAGTGGCACACTCAGCTCTCTACAACACTGTAATCCTCGTGATGACTTCGACATGTTTGCACAGACAAGAGGCAGTTCCTTGGCTGAGCAGCGAAAGAAGTATGTTGGAGTTTGTCTGTAGCACTGTCTGAGTCACGGAGTTGCTGTTTTCTAAGGGCATAAATCTGAAACTTCTTGACTTCATTCCAGACTAAAAAAGTAGTTTTGGTGTATGTTTTTTGTGCTTTTAACCCAGTCCCTATCCTGTTGGTCGTTGTTAGTATGAGCAAGTGGAGAAGTTCCTGCTGTTGGGCTGAGTAATGTTATTTAACTGTCTTAGTCACTGGAAACTTGGAAATGAACTTGCCTTTACTTCTGCAGATGCTTCCTCACCTAAAGGCTTTTCATCTCATTCACTTATCCAGGAGCATAAGGGACTTTCACCGGAGGGTCATGGCTAGGCTTTGGTGACCGAATTACTGTCGTCAGGGGCTTGGAAACAGAATCACTGTCCAGTTAAACTCTCCCTCTGGCCCAGCAGACAGACTCTCACAGGCTGTCAAGGCAGTGTGGCTTGCCCAGCTGCCGTGCTATCCCTGGTTTGTTTATATGCATAGGGCTTGCATCCCTAGAGCTGCAAATCTAGCATTTTCAAGGGCATTTAACAGGTCAAATTGTTTTAATGTCAGATAAATCTATGCATTTATTAAGAAATCCTTTGATCCCTGTCAAATACGATTCAGTAAAAGACACACTCAGGTATTTTTGTTTCACACGTTGTTTCTCCACCTCCTCCTGGTTTCAGATTCTAGAGGATTTAGTGGCCAGCAGCAATCAGAACATCATAAGGGTCTTGTCTCAAACTAAGAAATGTTGTGAAATAGTTTATCTCAGACCTTAATAGATTATCAAAAGCTCTGGGAAAAATTGAGCCAGCGGATTTATTACGATCTTTTATTTGCATTTATTGGTGTCGCTATTAGTAGTGCCTCAGCTGTAGTATCAGTGTGGAGAAGAGGGGCCCTGCTGTAGAGGCATTCGTTACCGCTGGAGATTTTGGGCTGACGTATAGTCAGAAAGGAAATGCATTGCGGAGAGATCCAGTGGGGATCCCTCTGTCTCTTGTGCTAAATGAAGCACAAAACTACTCTTCCCACACCGCACCTTTATCTCCTTCTGCGAGCTAATGGAACAGGGAGCCCCTAGCAGTCCGTGATTTCACAAGGGAGGATTGCTCTGTCTTCCTTGGACCGTACGCTGCAGAAACGGAGCAACAGCGAGGCAGTACAGATGTGCGTCTGACTTGCCACGGTGCGTGGGTGAAAGCCTCTGGGTGCTGTGCTCCAAGCTTGGGAGAAGCCAGCACGCTGGAGGAGAAAGCTCCTCGTGTTCAGACATGCAGCTCCTGCCAGGGGCTGATGAATGGGCAAGTGCTGGTGTCCGCTTCAGCTCGCTGTTCCCCGGTATGCTCTGAGAAGTGATGCTGTTGCCTCTGTCACCTGACTGCTCCATGTCCCTTTTTGCACAGCAATTTAAGAAGCTTTTTAAAAAGCCCAACCTCTGTAAATAGCACATCTTTGTATGCTTTGCTGTAGTTGCTTAGTTATGGTTCATCTGTCTTGGAGTTTCCCTCTGCCTTCCCCCATGCACGCATCAGGGTCAGGCTTCCAGCTGCATTTTCAGAGCTCTGCAAAACGTAATCTGTAATCAAGCCTCTTCTCCGAGTCCCCTGCTAGCTCTTGGACACACTTATGGTGCCTCATAACCCATTTGCCTACCCCTCAGAATGCCAGTTTTAGTCTATTTTGCTTCAGTTAGTCTTTTTTTTTGCTTCAACATGCTTACTGAAAACAATGACTGGTCTTTGTACAGCGTGCACTCCTCTTCTTGGAAGACACTTAGTACATGAAGAAGAATGCGCTTTCTGATTTCCAGTGGAGTAAATCAGAGGAGAAAGTGCATTCTGCATGGGTGACTGCTGGACTTCCTTCTAGTTCTGTGGTTTGTTCTTCTCTTTCAGTGTGACATATGAGGATCCCCAGGCTGTCAAAGGACTAGCGTCTGCCCTGGACGTGCGAAAACAGAATACAGGAGGGGTAGGTCATTGCTCTGCGTTTTGTTATCTGAAGCTGTGCGGGGACTCCAAGCTGTAGGCAGCTGCTTTGTCTGAGACTTCTCATTTTGTATTCCAGCAACATGCTAATACTGGCTATTTTGAAATTGATATCTAGGAGCAAGGACTTGCTCAGTAATGGTCTCTAAAGAGCTGCTGCTTAGCACAGCAGCCTAAAAGACTTTGAAATCAGAGTGGGTAAATTCTCCCGTATTCTTGAAGCTTGTTGGGGGTTCTCTGACTGGAATCACTGCTGAAAAGTGGGGAACACCTTTTGAACACTGGCGTGCATGAGTTTGGTTTGGTTTTTGCTTATGAAAGTCGGTGAGATCTTAATCTACTAGACTTTGCTCTAAGTGCACGGGTACACAAGCAAGTTACAGGGAGACAAATTATGTAGGCTTTCAGTGTTTCTCATGCCGTGCCGTAACTGCCTTTGCCTGCAGTCTGTTCTGTCTGTCCCAGGGCAGGCTCCTGCTCTCCTGTGTGGGCAGAAGCAGCCCGTGTGCTGTCACCTCACAGCAGCTGGTGCTAGAAACGTGTTTGAGAGAGTGAGCTTGGCTCATTTTGTCTGCAATACCTTGGTGAAGGCAGAAGAGCTTTCAGATCACCCCTCGACCCCTTTCTACCACCCCGCTTTTTAAAACTGTCCTGCTCCCTTGTACTTAGCTATGTGTGAGTTTTTAGATGACAGAGCAAGTTGGAGGCTTTTCCTAGTCCAATTTTAGTCTGTGCTGACCACCAGGGAGCATGGCAGAGCTGGTGCAGCATGCCCAGCCTCCCTCCGTGGAGAATTGCCTCCCCATGCCTTGGCTGATCCTGCCCTGGTTCTTTCTTAAGTTGAAATGGGAGTGCTCAGGGCAGCTGGCATGCCTAGCAGTTTGTGCTCTGAGCCAGGGAGAAGAATTTGCTTTCAGAGCCAGCTGGGGTCAGATCACAACTGCCTGCCTGGGCCATAGTTCAGTGGGAGCAGGGCTTCAGCGATGATTTCTTAGGGAGCATCCCCACGCCCCACAAATCTCTCTGCTTGTTCCTGTCCCTGTCCTCCTGCGAGAAGGATAATTTATAACCCAGGTCAGCCCTGTGACCAGTTTCAAGCTTGGCTACACAAAAACTCATGCCAGCAGTGCTGAGGGAAAAGGAGGAAGCACGGGGAGGCAGGGGCAGAAGTATATTAAAAGGGAGTGAGAGAGGAATTCCCGAAGCCAGCGTGACAGCCCAAGCCCACGTTATCGCTGAGACATGTTATCGGCAAGACCTAGGAAAGGATTTGAGATTCTGCTCTTTGTTTCTGGCTAACCAAACGCAACGGGCTTGCATTTAGTTACTGATCAAGGGGACTGGGTTCCCCTGGTAGCCACGGGGTCGTGTCCTTATTTATTAACACTCGTGTTCTCAGCCAGTTCTGCGTAGCTGCTGCTCTGCCCCAAGTGTTGTCAGTTCAAAGGGCTGTGTCTAAGCTAATCAGACGGTCAAAGTTTTGGGGGGCAAACGCTTTATGAGTTGTGGAACTTTGAGCTGTGAGATGTCACAGAGACTTTCAGCCTCTTTTCAAAGGTCCCAGTGTCTGTATCGTATAATCAGAAGAATATGTTTTGAAATGCAGTCTTTCAGATAAACACTACTTTTTGTCAAGTGTTGTGAGGCTCGTGGGTGTTTCTTCTTGAAGGAAATAAAAATTAAACTTACCAGCCCCAGCATGTGTAACAAAAAACTGGCAGCGCTCAGTAAACGAAAGACACGTGTTCATTTGGGTAGAGAGCTAATTTAAGAACAGCTCTAGGGAGGAGGAACCAAAAGCTTTGAAACACATTCTTCACACACGTCTTGTTCCAGCACAGTTGTCCAGTGGTAAAATTCAGCACATCCGACGTTTCCAATGTAGTCATTCTCAGAATGGTCTGCAGAGAGACGGCTGATCATGTGGCATGAGCTGTCTTTTAATATGATTTAGCAGCTGGAAACAAGACGAGCTAAAAATACACTGTTTTCTTAATATTGCTTTTCCATGTTGGGAATTGCTTTTGTTGCCACAGAAGCGGTTGCGTGATCACAACTGGGAGGAGAGGTGTCTAAGAAACAGTTCTCTAGTGTTACACAGGTAGTAGATAAAGTTGGAGTGATTTCCCCTTTTTTTTTCCTCAGCACAAATACTGAAAGGAGACATAAAATACGACAAGTGAGTCTCCGTTCTCTGTTTTCATGGGAACAGGAGAGGTGTTCCACATACACGGGTATCACAAAACACCCCAGCAGCTCTCTGCTGAGCGAGCCCACTTGTGGCAGGGCCGGTGGGCTGAAACCGCTGCGCTCTGCCGGTCGTGAGCAAACCCTTCCAGAGGTAGAGCTGAGCCTGCAGCCGGGCCCTGGCCTGGGGATGGGATGCCAAAGGACAAGAAGCCATCTTTGAGAGTCTTCTCCTTGCAACTTTTAGCCTCTGCGGTCCTTTTAACCTCGGCCTCTCTTTGAGAGGGGTCTTTGAAAGACTGCCAGAGCGCTGCAGCAAACTGCCAGTGCTCACCCTCCTGCTCAGCGCCGGCATTAGATGCTGTCCTGCTGTTGGAGTTTGGGGCTGAGCCCAAGGAGGTGAGGAGGGTGTGCTGCAACTCTCAGCTCCGTAAACAAGGGGAGCTCCACGGTACGTGGTATTAGCATTTCCAGTAAAGCCTCACTGATTTTAGCAGGTTGTATAGCCTACACTTCTTCTAAGAAGATGACAAACATCAGCCTCACTACTAGCGCAGTGATTTATTTTAATTTTAATATCAGCGTGGGGAAGTGCTAAAATACTGTGAAGTGTCTGTAGGAAGCGCAGGGGTTGGGCTGAGGTCTGTGCCTCCACAGGCAGAGCTGGCAGGCAGCCGAGGGGGATGCAGCTGCTGCCAGAAGCCGCCGTGGGCAACTCTGTGTGTGTGGATGTGAAGTGTTTAACTTGCTGCTGTTATATTACTTTGTCACGGGTTGTTGCTGTGGTTTCTCTCTTTATGGACCTTTCTGTTCTCAACACAGAGGAGAGGTAAAGGTGGGAACTCAGACATGGAGCCCATAGACAAGTGGCTAATTACACAAGGAATGGTGAGGACTTCACCAGCGAAGCAATTCCTACTGCCCACCCCCAGTCCCCTTACCTAGAATAACCATCCTCCGTTCACCTCTCGTCCTGCCCTACTGAACCACTTGAAATCAGACAGTACAAGGAGGTTATTTCCCACCGATGGGGCAAAGGGAAAGATTTGCACCGATTTTCTGTTTTATGCAACGTAAAGGACTGTAACCAAGTGAGTCATTTGTAGGATCCCCCATCACCTTCGGAACAGGCCTGGGGATCCAATTGGTTCCTTATACTGTCTTGATTTATTTATGCAGTATCCGCTTTTCGAGGCATAAACACAAGTCTCATGGATCTTGTTCATAAAGAGGACACTTTCTACACGCCTTTAAAGCAGCCTTTTCTGGTAGTGCTTAACTTTATGGTCTGGAATAAACATACGAAGCTTGCAGGATCATACCTGATTGAGCTGGGTAACAGAAGGATAGTTCTGTATGAAAAGAAGGGAATGGGAGAACTGCTACGCAGATGGATATCTTGCACCCCGCTGGCATTAGGATTCAAGCTCCAAAAGGTACAATAGTGTTTCTGGCTTTAAGGATTTAATGCCCACATCTGGTGATGCCAGGGCTCTGATAAAAATCAAGCTTCTGAAGATCACTGAATCTTTGCACGTTTTGACCTTGTTTGAAGTTGTCCTTCATCAACACACTTGCAGAGAGAAGTTCAAAAGCCTGCTTTAAGTGCCAAAGTCAGAGTTAGGTAAAAAATAGCCTCGGTTATGCCTTAAAGCCAATTTTGTATTCTTGGAGGATGTAATCCATCACTTTAAGTGTTTGAGATTAGTACCACTGATCTGACCTAACCGTTCAAAGTCCTTCTGAGACGGCCCGGGCTGCAGCTAAGTTCAGGAAGGTGCAGGGCAGAATTCGGGCTGGGCTGGGGTGCGCTCACAGCGCGTGGGGCTGGGCATCAGAGGGCCAGTGGAGCAGGAACACCTCACTCTGGGAAGAGCCTTGAATGTCCCAGACTAAGCTGCCCAGTGCTTAAAAAAAGAGAAACATCCCCGAGAGTTTAAGGTTGAGAAAATCCAGAGTGTGCAATATCGAAGTGCACCAACTCTGTGAAACGCTTTGCGTTTATTCTTCTAGATTTAGGGCTAATCCAAGATTATTTCTGAGGGCTGGCTTGTGAATTTGGCAAAAGTTTGCCTGGCTGCTGCACGCACCGTGGTTGGACACGTGCGTCTGTACAATGACTGTACCTGCCCCCGTGTGCAAGCACCCAGAAGCACTTCAGTGCCTGCCAGCCCAGGTGGGAAGGCCCAGCTTTAGGTACCGGTCCCTGGGAACCAGAGTTTTGTTTCAGTGCTTGTTGGAGACCCACAGCTCAGAACACGAGAGCAAAAAGCCATAAACTGAGTGGCGCTTGCTTCGCCTCTGACACTGTTGACTGTGGTTCGCAGAGGCTCTCGCTCTTTGGTGCCGCTGTTAGATGTTCATCCATAATGAATAATCCAGTGATTTAGTTCCTCCTCTTTGCCTTTCCACTGTTTACAAGAGCGGGGAAGCATGAAATCGGCACCCCTGCTGTTCACACCACTCACACCACTGCTTTATTAAAAAAGCAAACACAATATTCGTTCATTGGCTTGTGGTTATTCGGTCTGGAAAAGGGATACTGCAGCATTCATGGAGGCATACGGATTTGGGGAGGGGAAGGGCGTCTGCTGTCCAGCCAGTCACTGCTCTTACAAGCCTGTCACCTTGTTTGTATGCTAAATATGAGAGAGACATACCTAAAAGAAAACTAATCATTAACTCCGTTTCTCTCTTAACTGGCTGTAGTTCTTAACCGTATTTATTAATATGACTTTGTAGCATTTGCAATGCCAGTGGAATAACTAGCATCCCAGGTATGAACTTGATGTTGCA